GGTTGCGTGTAGCAAATGGTTCTTGGGTCACGGATAGAGGGCGAATGGAGTATATGGTCATAAATTATTTTGAAACCATTTTTCAAGAGGTGACCAAGGAGCAGAATCATGCGGATATGGGAGTATTTAAACAAGTCTCGCCTGATTAGAATTTGAAGCTGACTAGGGCTATTAGCCCGGAGGAGGTGAAGGCAGCTGTTTTTTATATGCATTCGGAGAAGGCGCCAGGGACAGATAGAATAAATCCATCTTTTTTTCAAAAATTCTAGGATATAGTGGGCCCATAGGTGTCTCATCTATGTCCAGGTATTTTTTATACAGGGAGGTTACCGAGTGAACTAAATCTGACTAATATTATCCTAATTCCTAAGAAGGATAAATCTGAGAATATAGGGGATTGGAGACCAATCGCTTTGTGTAATTTTGTGTATAAGATTTTTTAAGGTGCTTGCTAATCAGCCGAAAGACATTTTGGAGGGTTTGGTTGATGAGAGTCAAAGTGTCTTTATTCCGGGCAGATCCATTGTTGACAATATTATTGTAGCATTTGAAACACAACATTACTTAAAAAGGAAGTCTTATGGTTAAGACGGCTATGTGGCTCTTAAGCTTGACATGAGCAAGGCTTATGATAGAGTTAGCTGGAATTTTCTTAAGGAAATTATACTGAAGATGTGGTTTATCCAGAGATGGGTGAACATTATTATGCTTTGTGTATCGACGGTCAGCTACTATGTGCAATTTAATAAGGATTTTTTGGGTCCTATTGTACCGCAAAGGGGACTAAGACAGGGAGATCCTCTTTCTCCTTATTTATTTATTTTAGTTGTGGAAGGGCTTAGCACACTGTTACGCAGAGCCGAGGACAAAGGGGAGATCCACGAGGGTGGCTGTGTGTCGGGGGCACCACGGGTGTCACACTTATTATTTGTTGATGATAGTTTTCTCTTTTTTTAAAGCTTCGAATGGAGAATGTGCAGCAGTGAAGAATATTTTGCAGAGGTACGAATAGCTTTGAGGGCAGATGGTACATTTTAATAAATCTTCCTTAAGTTTCAGTCATAATGTTGGGGAACCATTTAAGGATTATTGTAGTCAACAGTTGGGGAGTGCCAAGAAGTGGGGGGGGTAAAGTCTTTACCTGGGATTACATGCGCTTGTAGGGAAAAATAAATCAGTAATTTTGGGTTATCTGCGAGATCGCATTTTTAATGGGGTAAAAAAATGGAATACCCGATTTTTATCCCGAGTTGGGCGTGCAGTTTTACTACATACTTAATGTCATTCAGGCATTACCAAATTATGCAATGAATGTGTTTCTTCTACCGAAGGATTTGTGTGATGAAATAGAAAAACAAATGAATGGTTTTTGGTGGAAGGGATCAAAGTTTGTTCAGAAAGGGTTTAATGTGGAGACGGTGGAAGGTTTTATGTAGCCGAAGGAGGCAGGGGGGGCTTCAGGAGAATTAGGGAATTTAATATTGCTATGTTAGCAAAGCAGGGATGGAGGCTAATCACTGAAGCAGGGAATCTGATGAGCCGCGTGTTGAAAGCCAGGTACTTTCCTTCTTCCGATTTTCTAAATGTTATATTATGGAGTAATCCGTCTTTTATATGGAGGAGTATTTTTTAATCTCAAGAGATTTTAAGGAATAATATTAGAAGGAGAGTGGGGAATGGTATTGATATCAGGTCTGGGCGGATTCATGGTTACGGGGTAATGATGGAAGAGTGACTTCTGATAAACCGGTAGGAATAAGGGATATGAATGTAGCAGCTTTGCGTGATATAACGGGGAAAAATTGGAATAGAGAAAGGATTAATAATTGGTTCAATCAGGAAGATAGGGCAGGATATTGAGTATTCCGATTAGCTTTACTGATAGGAGGGATGTCTATTGGTGGGTTGGTGAACGAAATAGCATCTTTTCGGATAAAAGTTGTTATAGACCGCTCATGGGGGATCAATTGGTGGGAGGGTGGAATGGTTGGGGCAAGCTGTGGGAATTGAAGACCCCCCCAAAATTGAAATATTTAGCATGACAGGTGTTAGATGAGTCTTTGCCGTCATTAGATAATCTTCTAAGAAAGGGAGTCACAATCAATGGGGGATGAAAACTTTGCAGGCTTGTGGAAGAAGATATGGATCATGCACTTCGTTCGTGCCCCAAAGTCGCGGAAGTGTGGCAGGTTGCTGGGATTTCGACAGACCTGCAAAAAACTCGTTTGAGGACTAGTTTCGTAGGAAGATAGATGTGACAGACAACGAAGCTGGCAGCAACTTTATAGCTCTATCTTGGAGCATTTGGAAGCCACGGAATAGTGTTGTTTGGATGGATAAAGACCTGGATGCGGCTGGAGTAGTCCGAGTAGCAGCAAGCATGATGGCTGCATGGCAGGATGTCCAAGCGACAGCTGGGAGTCGGGTAGTGGAGAGGCCGAATAGGGAGGATGAGATGAAGTGGGAAAAGCCTAGATCGGGCTTTTTGAAGATAAATATAGACGGGGCAGTTAATCAGGATGGGGGACTGGGGAGTGCGTGCTTGGGGATGGGTGACAAGAGACGGGGAAGGAAATTTCATTGAGGCTCGAGGTGTCTCTAATAAAGCAGAGTGGTCAGCTGAGGAGACAGAAACCATGGGGGTTAGACATGCAATAGCGAGGGCTATAGAAGCGGGTTGGCGGAAGGTTGAGATCGAGACTGATGCTCTAAGTGTGGTCCAGAGTTTAAAGACGAAGACTAAAGGAGCGGCTTATGTTCACTTGATTATTGATGATATTAGGAGACTGTTGGAAACAAAGAGTAATTTTGATATCTCTTTTTGTGGAAGGTCTGCGAATCATGTGGCTCATGCTCTTGCACGAACGCATGTTACTATATCAGATCATAGAGTTGATTATGATTTTATTCCTAGATGTATTTCCAGCCATTTGACGAACGATTTATTGATTTAATATAATTTTCGTTTGACGATAAAAAAAAATTAGACTTTGTCAATTTTACCAACAAAAAAATATACGTAGTACTTTCTATTCAATTAGATTTTGTCAATTTTCTTTATTTTATTTAAAGAAATAGAATTACTGTTAATCTTGTTTGTGTAATATTAATTAGGAAAAATTGATAGTAATAATCCCAACTATTGGCGGTCCGCTTATAATAATCCCAACTATTGATTATTTCAGAATAATCCCAACTTTTGGGACCGTCCGCTAATAATGGTCCATGATTAGATTTAACTCCTATAAAAATTGAATTTTAAATAGAAATTAAGTGTAAAAATTAAAAGTTGGGATTATATATAGGCATTAATTGCTATATCTCTTCTCATCCACTTTAGAAACTACAAGAATTTATTCTTAGGGACCATTATTGGCGGAAGGTCCCTAAAGTTGGGATTATTCTAAAATAATCAATAGTTGGGATTATTATAAGCGGACCGCCAATAGTTGGGATTATTACTATCAATTTTTCCTATTAATTAATACTACTAAAATCAATACGACATTAATTTGTGTAATAACAATCAATACGACATTAAAAAGTTATTTTAAAAATTATTTTTGAAACGATGATTTAAGAATGATTAAATGTATAAATCTATGTATTGATATTGTTATTGCTCATCTAATAACTTATGATAATATATATTCCCTCCGTCCCAAATTGAGTTGCAAAATTGACTTTTTTGAGCTAAACAAATTTATTTTATTCACTTAATTAGGATATTTAATTAAATTTTAATTTAGATTTTACAACCTTTTAGAGATTTTAGTGTAGTTTTTGAATATGTAAATTTTTATTATTAAAATTGAATTCATTATTAATAGGGAGGATTAAACTCTAACATTGATTAACTAAAAAAATGTTATTGACTTTGCAAAACAAATTGGGACGAATGTAATACAATTAACTTATCATGTGTTTTACTACAGACTGTTAAATATTAATGTCATTAGTGAAAACATAATTAAATATTAAATATAATTTGATATCATCATTAAGTCCATACAATCGTTAATAATTAACAAACAAATGTTTATTTACCCGCACGGGTAGCTCAACTGTTAAAGCGGTGAGAAAGTTGGACAAATGAGTCAATGACCAATGATCGAATCCCGCAACGATCGTGTGGAGGTCACAACTCCTATGTGTTGGGCTGGGCCTCTGGTGCGCACGAGTATATGGTCTACCACCTTTAAGATTGGTTGAGTCATAGTGATTTACAACATCTCATATGCTCTGTCGGGTCGGGGCATGGGGCGCCCTTGAGGTTGGGGATTCAACCTTCTTGGACAAACAAATAAATGTTTATTGTCAAACGCTTTCCACCAACATAGTAGAAGTAGAATAGATCGAATTAAATAGAGTTAATACTTATTTAAACCAGTAATGGTCCTATTTTACCTAGCTCTTTTTACTATGGCTTTAGTGAGATAAGAAAATTATTTAGTGAGATAAGATTTATGATTTTGTTTATAGACTAATTTTAAAACTCGTGCATGGACGACGATTGTTAATAAAATTGAAGTCGAGCATGAATGGTAAATTCTATACATGTTTGTTTTGAAATAATTGATGAAAATCTATTAATATACTGTCTCGTTTATATATTCATCCATGTTTCTGAAAACATTAGTTACAACTTACAAGGGTAAAAATGTAAAATCAATACATAATTTTGAGGGGGGGAAATAGAAAAGGAAACTTAATTTGAATAGAGACTTATCATGGGACTTTTTATTAATTTCCAGGTAAATATATTTTGAATTAAGAAAATAATTTATTTAGAACCAATGAAACAAAATGGATTGGTGTTCCAAATAATGCACATAAACAGTCATAAAGGCAATGACATAATATTTCCATTTACTCTTTGGACTAATTGTTATGTGAACTTGGGAAGTTGAATGAAAGAATGAGCTGAAAGCTCAAAAGGTCCTGAAATTTCTGTAGATGCTCTAATACATTTCTGAACACTCCAATACGCGATACAATGTTGAAATAGAGAATATAAAATGGACTAACATTGAAGAGATTTCTTAATTGAAGGGTTTATTTTTATACAAGCACACGCTGTATTACATTATGATGATACGAAACCCCATAATCAGATAGAATTGAGCTCAATGAGCGGTCAGTTCAACTAAAACTCAACCACGAGCATACAGATTTCAAGATCAAGTCATATCATAAATTTATTTATATAATATCAAAAGATACTCCAGAGGAATTGCTGACAGAAGACTAAATATTTTGGTATGGAAATATATACTTGATCAACTTTCAATATAATTGATCGAAAAAAGTAAATCTTACACGACATGAGATTGAAGAGAGGTGTAGACTCAAGTTCACCCACAAAGATTCATTAACTAATCAATCAAGGTAGATTGCAAAGCTTTTTCCAATGTTGCAGCCATCCCCTTTAGAGAAGATGAGATGAAACCAAAGAATGCATCACTGGTCATCCCATCAATAGGGTCAGCAACGTAGGACCACACGATCTCACACCCGACCTCATCATCACCGTCCAATGTGGGCAACACCTTGAGCGTAGCAATGTAGCTCTTGATCCCGATGTTGTTTTCCAAAACTTGATAGCTCATACACTTTCCGTCGTGGTCAATGCTAACCAGCCTCTCGCGACACCATCTTACCTTATTTTCGTTGCCCGATGATGCCGTGGAGGCGACATACCGGACCCATCCAACCTCTCCCTTCACTCCTTCAACATGATGGCTCTGATCTAAGTTGGGGAGCCATTTGTGAATGTCGGAGAAGTCTTCAACCAAGACAGACCATACTTTGTGTGCTTTTGGACCATTTAAGCTTGCTGTGGTTTTTCCTTCCCAATTAAGCTCTTTTGAACCTGCCATCTCCTTCTTTTAGAAATCAGATTCACGCTTCGGATGCAACGCCTTACGCCCCTATCAGGGTTAAAGGAAAACATTATACTAACTTAGAATGTTTTCTTTTGGATTGTTCAGTCCCAGACAGACCAGTTTTAAAATACACAGAGAGAGATCAGACGTTTACCAGACCAGTTCAGACCAGCATATTTCAATCCAAAAGAAAACATCCTTACTATGTTAAAGAAAGTGCAGTATAACAGCCATTAGTTTAATACTAAAATCTCATGAGTAAAAAAAAGCATCTCCAATTAAATATATAATGAAATCTTGTTAACACCGGTGGCACAACCAGAACAAAAATCAAGGGGTGCTAAAAGTATTATAAAATGCAAAAATATAAATTGTTATTAAAGTTTACAGAATATAAAATTTGTGAGAAGAGTACATTACGATTAAATGTTAAAAGAAGAAGTCAAGCTGTCATTCGTCTCTCATTCTACTCCGTAAAACAGTCTTTATGATTTTAATGCCAGAAAAAACTCTTTCAGCTGAGATTGTTGCAATTGGTAAAACTAGCGCTAACTCAATAAGACGATATACCAAAGAAAACACAAAGTTCATGCCACTTTTAACCATTTGTCTGGCAAGACTTTCCAAATCTTTAATTGCACGAAATTGACTTTGTACGGCATGAATGTATGTCTCAAGTTGTTGCTTGAGCATAAAACAATCAGTAGAAAAAAAAATCTTCCGCATACATTTCAGCCATATGAATTAATTTATCAATTTCAAAATGGGAGAAAGAATTTTTTGGATCAAGACATGTAATATATGTAAATAACTCAGTACATGTTTCTGAAAAACGATTATTCATCTCTACAATCATCTTATCAATAACCTAATATATATAGTACAAAATAATTGAAAACTAATAATAAAAAAATAATCAAAACACATACTCCCATACCTCCACAAAAGATTCCACCACGGAAGTGAATCAAATTTGTAATTCAGTTTCCACTTCGTCTATTACTCCCATGAACTAGCACTTCTCCTTTCATCTTTAAGACCAGAATTTTGGTTTTTCTCAAAATAGATTTGTTTCTTGTAAAAGATTGTTCCACCCATTATCTCGGAATTCTTGCAATCTAACTTTCATCAATCAAGTTGATTGTCAAAATAATATTTTGATCTTTTTGTTGCAAGACAGGAGACAACTCATTAGTAATTCCAAACAAATACGTCATTAAATGCATAACGAAGATGAATTCATAATTCTTCATCTTGTTGATTAAACTTCCAACCATACCCCGCTCCTCGATAACTACATTTTCAATTTGAACGTTTCTTTGGCATTGTGCATGTGACTGATAAAAGTACTTGAAAATGTGCATGATGATGGAGCTACCGAGGAGCGAGGTATCGTTACAAGTAGAGAATTGTGAATTTGTCTTCGTTATGCATTAAATGACTTATTTGTTTAGAATTACAAATGAGTTGTCTCTTGCCTTGCAAAAAAAAGATCAAAATATTATTTGATAATCAATTTGATTGGGACGATGAAAAAGTTAGATTGGAAGAATTCCGAGATAAAGGGTGGAAGAATCTTTTACAAGAAACAAATCCATTTTGTGAAAAAGCAAACATCCCGGTCTTAAAGATAGAAGAAAAAGTGTTAGTTCGTGGGCGTAGTAGACGAAGTGGAAGCACAATCAAAATTTTGATTCACTTCCGCGGCAGAATCTTTTGTGAGGTATGTGAATATGTTTTTTTATTATTATTAGTATTGTATTCAATTATCTTGTACTATATAAGTATATATACTAGGGGAAATTTGAGTTTGCACCCCATTTTATTGTCCAAATTGGACTTTGCACCCCATTTTTAAAAAAATGCTTTTGCACCCCAACCTCATATCAAAAAATAAAAAATGCCCCTCCATTAAGAATTTTGTTGGCCTTCAACATATTCCTGATTGAGGGTATTTTTGTCTTTTCATATGGGATTGGGTGCAAAAACAAAGTTTTTTAAAAACGAGGTGCAAAGTCCAATTTGGACAACAAAATAAGGTGCAAACTCAAATTAGCCATATATATTAGGTTGTTGACAAGATGATTGTGGAGACAAATAATCGTTTTTCATAAGCAAGTACTGAGTTACTCAAATGTATTGCATGTCTTGATCCAAAAAATTCTTTCTCCCAATTTGACATTGATAAACTAATTCATATGGCTGAAATGTATGCGGAAGACTTTTCTTCTATGTAGCACCGATACCGGTACGCGGAAACGCGGAAACGGGTACGGGGATACGTCAAAACCAAAAAAAGTAGGATACGGATACGGGGCCATATTTATAAATATTAAAAGTATGGGGGTGTATTTACAAATATTAAAAGTTATAGGGGTCTATTTATAAATATTAAAAATAGGTTTTTTTTTAATATATATATATATATATACACATATAATATCCTATGATGTCTACCCATTCATTGCATTGAAGCATTTTCCTTTTTCAAGATACTTAGTAATAAATTCATAATATTTCTCATATACACTAGTGCTTCTCGAAATATAAATGTAGTCAATAAGTCATTAATTTAAAATGAGAAATAAGTCAAACAACTACAATCTTGAAATTAAAAGTGCGAGTACCCAATTCGGAGTATGAGTTAATGACTTAATTCGGATATAGCCATATAGGCCCATTATTTGATTACCAAGTAAAATGCAGTTTTAGATTTTCATTTTTTTTTTAGAATTTTATTAAGTAAATTTTGGGATTTTTTTTTTAAAAGTTGATACGGGTATCCGTCAGGATACGAGTATCGGAAACTTTCAAAAAATTACAAAAAAAAAATGGAAACTTTTAAAAAATTGCAGATACGGCCCGGGAACGTACGGTACGGGTATCCTAGAGTATCGGATACGGGAACGTATCGGATACGCCGATACGCTACCCTAGGGAAGTATCCGTGCTTCATAGCTTTTCTTCTATCGATCGTTTTATGCTCAAGTAATAACTTGAGACATAAATTCATGTCGTACAAAGTCAAAGTCTTTCGTACCATTGAAGATTTTGGAAGTCTTGCCAAACGAATGGTTGAAAGTGACATGAGCCTTGTGTTTTCTTTGACATATCATCTTATTGAGTTGACGTTAGTTTTACCAGTTGCAAGAGCCTTTTCTGGCATGAAAATCATCAGGACTGGTTTACGGAGTAGAATGGGAGATGAATGACAGCTTGGTGATATACATGGAGAAGGAAATTTTTGCCAAAATTGAAAATGAAGCAATTTTGCAACGTTTTAAACATATGCAAATACGCCGCGCACAATTGTCTTAATTGGCTTCTTCTTCTAACATTTAATTGTAATGTAATGTATTCTTCTCACAAATTTTATATTCTGTAAACTTTAATAAAAATTTATACTTTTGCATTCAGTTCAAAAGAAAACATCCTAACTCAATGACTTCTCAAATATATTTGGAAAGGTATCAAAAAAAGAAAATTTCCTTAAATAATTTCGTGAAAAGCTTTTGAAGAGATTTAAGAAAAATCTTGCTAAATTAACTCTTAAATACTTCTGAAGAGATCTAAAAGACTTTCTGAAATGATTTTTGTAAAACTTTATTAAAGAGATTTTATTAATCTTTTTGTGACTAATTTTAACTTTAGACTTGTGATATGTATTCAGTGGCATCATTCTGACAACTCAAAGGAGCAACCCACTAAAGATATCGAAACTCTAGACTCTAATAACTATGTGGGGTTTTGTTCCCGATTACATATCACATAATATTTCACTTTAAATATCAATTCTTTTTATGGTGACGTTTGATTAAAACATCGCTAAAATCTTAAAACAAATTAAACAGATAATAAAATCTGAAGTATAACATTAAACAACATATTAAATAACTCAACACGCTCACATAATAAAGGATATAGTCTAAAATCATCGATAAAAAAATCAGCCAGGTTTCTTTCCTTTTATTTTGGACTAAAGTGTAAAGAAGATAGTGAACTTATCTATTAGAAGTTGAACTCAAATTACTCAAATAAGTGTCGCACTTTCATAATGTCTTTGGGGCAAGCTCTTCCTTAATAATATGTAGGGCAACCATACATTAAGAAAATGAAGTCTGCACATCCTACCAGTGTTTTAAATAGCGGGCCGCTACCGCTATAGCGGCCGCTATATAGCGTTCGCGGTAGGTACCGCTACCGCTACGGGTCGCTACCGGGGTGTGATTTTCAAATCACAGAAAAATCTCGCTACGCCGCCCGCTACAGGCCGCTACCAGCACTTCCGGCAATATATCACGAACTGGCTGATGTGTAAATATATAAATGTTGTATGCATGATGTGAAAAAATACATTAATGATGATGCGTGGAGTGAAACTCTAAATTAAATGTACATGTATCCACATACATTATGGTAGCAAATATTAATAAATATCTAAATTTTAATCATTAAAACCTTAGTAATTATTAATAATGATGATTTAACTTTAATATCGGTTGACGAAAATTATACGTAGTATATGTTTTGCGCATTTGAAAATATTTCACGCCTCCTACAGGCCGCTACAGGCCGCTACAGAGATGACCGCTACCGCTGCCGCTACGGCTATTTAAAACATTGCATCCTACCATGTGACTTTTCACATTCTAAAGGAAAATCCTTTACCGTTGCTCCTATAAATTAGGGACCATTGGCGAGGAAATTCATCCCTCAACACATGATGGTAAACTCATATCCAAACCACTAGCTTTACCAGCAGCAGCGGTAAGTTTTTTATTTACGAAGGAACCAAAAGCTTTAACGGTAAATTAGTTACGAAGGAACAAGTAATACTAAAAAAACACTCCTAAGGTTCTAGCCCAATTAGTTAAATTGAAGCCATTAGATTATTAGAAATCACTTAAAAATTGATCCATTAGCAATAGAGAACATTGGGATCGAGAGTTGAAAGAAAACAAACTAAAACTATAGATTTGGAACAAGAATATGAAGTACGGAATATTCAATTTACAGGTTTGTGATGTAATCCAAGACTCAATATCTTGCTTTGGCCTCATGAAGGAGAAGAATTTCGAGAAAGAGAAGAATTTCGAGAAAGAGAAGAATTTCGAGAAGGAGAACTGAGAAAAGGTGCAGCTAGTATTGGTGGGGAAAAAGCACATATATATAATACTCTTTTTAGGGATTTGTAGTCAAAATACTGATTCAAGCCAAAATAACTGATGTGGGTGTCTTAGCTTTCTGAAAAAATGCTTCTGGCCCAACTAAATTATTGCATTCTCCCTTACAGTAATATCATGCTCGTGGAGGGAAATTTCACAAAGACATGTATTGTGTTGAATGGACCGCACAAATACATAGTCTTGGAGATGCTTTTAGCTAATAAAGTCAACCGAAAACTGAGGAAAGGCATATTTCAATATATCAGATTATAAACACACACAATCTACAATATATGGCAGACATTCAGGCCACTGGTTATGGTTGGGAAAGAAGTTGATATGCAGCCTAAGTTAATGAAACTGAAAAATATGCTTAGTAACTTTGTGTTAATCTATTTAGTTAACAAACTGAGTACTCTACTAGTATAGATATCAAAGTTGGAAAATGTGTTTAAGAACTTTGTTTTGATATGTTACTCTACTAGTTTTAGCTAACAAAACTGAAAAAAATATTTTAGCTTGTTTAGTTCACAAGCTAGTTACACTACTAATTTAGATAACAAACTTACTAGATATGTTTAAAAACTTTGGTTTGATATGTTACTCTCCTAGTTTAATTAACATAACTGAAAAAATATGATTAAGAGCTGTTTAACAAAATTGTTTACTAATTTGATTTAATACATTAGATTAAACTATGTTTAATTTGGTTTGAACTCGTGTAGTTCTTTTAATCTTACTTTTAATATGTTAAGAATGTTATTAATAAAAATTACTTAAGTGAAGAAAACAAATTATGAGTATTTACTTTTATTTGTCCAGTACTATAGTTAAAAGAAAGATTTGTATTCTTTTGTTAATAAGAGTACATTAAAGTATTAAACAGACTACTCCAAATTATGGAGACCCTAATCCAAATTGTACTCTATTTACTATATGAATATATGAATTCAGATTATGGAATAAAGAGCTAACTTCACCTTTCGGCTTTCACAAAACTTTAGTTGAACTCTTGTTTATTAAATTCGACTTTAGAAAACTTTTCTAACATTAGAGTAATCTGGAGTAATGTGTCAAGTTCTCAAACATTCAATACTTCTCAAACATACTTTAGTTCTACTCTGGTTTAATATTCAAATATCCACAACATCACTTGTTCTTTTGAAAAAGAAATTAAGAAGGTAGCTGGTTTCAAGCAACAGATTTTACAAAAAACAACAAGATAAGAACGTGTTCTTCTGACAAAAAAATCAAACATAAAAATACAGAAAAGTTTTCACGCAATGGATTTTATCAGATGGTCTCAAACATCCACAGCTGCACAAATCGTATATACCGTACTTTACACACCAGTATAACATGTCAACAACAACGAAATAAATTTTTGACACGAAATAAAGACGAAATCTGGTTAGAGGTATACTTACGGAGGGCTGATCAACTTTATTCGACTAGACTGGGATTCAGACTCCTCGTCAGTCGTCACCGTGCAAGCTCCGGCGATGAATCTTCCCAATTAGCCTTTAGACAAATGAAGAAGGGAAATGCCAAACTTTTATGAGATGATCGATCCACTTCTGATGTTCCGAGGGATACAAAGCTAAGCTAGATGAAATTGGAATTTTAAGGCATGTTTGGATAAAGTGTTAGGATGGGTTAGTAATAGAAGTTTAAAGGGTGTTGGCCAACACTTCACACTTGTTTGGGAGAAAAAAATAAAAAGATATTGGAGTGTTAATAAGTGTTAAGGTACACCTTCTCAACACCTTAATGCGTAGCTTTTTTGAGTGTTTAAAAACGATGGCTAGGTAGGATAAAGTTGTGATATACGAAGTATAAAGTTGATGCCTAGTGCTTTAATCGGGGTTGGTGGCGAAATTGGAATTTTCTGCGCAGACCAAAGAAATTTGGGGGATGGGTTTCAGAAAAATTGGGGATTTTAATCTTGTTATGCTCGCCATGCAAGCCTGGAAGGTGAGTGGAAGCTGCTAATGGAACCAGAAACACTGGTAGGATGGATTTTTTGGGCTAGGTATTACCCTGATGGTTCCTATCTGTCAGCCAAATTAGGGAGTAATCCATCGTTCGTTCGTTTGGAGAAGTTTGTTTGAGCTCGTAATATTATTAAAGAAGGAGCAAGGTGCCGTTTTGGGAGTGGAGATCATATAAATGTTTGCAGGTTCCAGTTGCTGGACTCCTAAACCAAACAAGGGATGATTAGGATATGGATATTGTGAAGGATTTGTTTAACAGTAGATGCACTAAACTAATCAGAAGTATCCGTGTGAGTCAAAGGTCGGTGCAGCCGTGCAGGATTGGCTAATTTGGTCCGGGGAGCAGGATGGACAGTTTTCGATTAAGAGCTGTTATAGGAGGATGATGGGGGGGAATTAGCTCGGATACATAACTGGGGTGGACAGCTATGTGGAAGTTTCAGCTCCCCCCAAAATTAAGTCATTTTTCTGTCAGATTTGTAATGACTGTTTACCAAGAACGGAGATTTTGCTAAGAAGGGGAGTAATTGCAGACTCATGTGCGGTCTGTGTGGCGAGGTGGAAGATGGGTTTCTAATTCATCTTTTTGTTACCTGTCAGGTAGCTAAGAAAGCTTTGGAAGCACTGGAATGGCGTATGGCGGGCAACTCAGCTCTAGATTGGCTTCAACAAAATTTGAAGGAAGAAGATCTTACCAGAGTGGTGCTTGGGTGTTGGGGGCTGTGCAACGAGAGGAACCAGCGGCTCTGGAACGGGAAACAGCTGAAGGAATCACAGATTCTGAAGAAGGCCGGAAGCTTCGTTGAGGGCTGGATGAAAGCGCAGCGTCCGAATGTTGTTTAGCAGGTAATCGGCAGGGAGGTCCTCTACTTTGGCAGCTACCTGGCGAGGGTAGGTGGAAGGTAAATACAGATGCTTCACTTGAGCAAGGGGGCGGTTTTGTCTCGGTCTTCGAAGGATTCAGGCGGAGTTTTCTTGGCAGAGGAGTTTTTTTAAGAACCATGTTGTACCCACCATTTGTACCAACCTAATACTCACCTCTGTGAAAGCTATTTTTTTTGTAAATGAAGCCGGTTCACAGACAAAATATGTCTTTGAATTCCTTCACGGGCATATTTTGTCTGTGAAGGAATTCACAGACAAAAAAAATTAACTTCACAAACATGGGTGGGTATAAAAGTGGGTACAAACATCATTTTCCTTTTTTTAAAGATACTTCTCATATGTTTTTACTTGGACCGTAATTTGTGGTATGGTCTGGTCTCATCTGTTCTGGTCTGGTCTGAACTGGTCTGGTAAGGATTGGTTTTTTTGTATTTTTATAACTATCCAAGTGTGGTCTGGTCTGGGACAAATTACAGTCTAAGTAAAAACATCCTCAATTCTATTTCTCAAATAGTCCAGCCGGAGGGATGGGAGCAGCCATCCGAACTTTATTGTTTGAAACGGTTTCCGGTGGAATTTTTTAATGAAATTTTTTGAGCATGTTCTTCATCAAGTCTAGTTTATCTATACCAAATTGCAGCTCAAAATTCGATAAAGAAGACATTCAAATCATTTTTTGAAGTTGACTGCGCCAAAATATACATATAAAAACGCAGTCAACTTCAAAAATGATTTGAATGTCTTCCCGATCGAATTTTGAGCTGAAATTTGGTATAAATAAACTAGACTTGATGAAGAACATGCTCAAAAAATTTCATCAAAAAATTCCACCAGAAACCGCCCCAAACAGTGATGTTCGGACGGCTGCTCCCGTCCATCCGGCTCGATCTGAGCATTTCTGAAGAGTCCAATTCGTATCGAGCCTGAAAGGAGCCGCCGTCCGGTGAGGGCATTTCGGGTCTTTCCCGGTGGAATTTGGTGATGAAATTTTTTGAGCATGTTCTTCATCAAGTCTAGTTTACTCATACCAAATTTCTGCTAAATATTCAATCGGAAAGGCAGTCAAATAAATTGTTTAAGAACACTGCGCTGTTAATATATGTATAAACAGCGCAGTATTTCTCAAAAACTCATTTGATTGTCTTCCTGATTGAAGTTTTATCTGAAATTTAGTATGGATAAACTAGACTTAATGAAGAACATGCTAAAAAAAACATAAAAAAATTCCTTCGAGAAGGTCCCAAAATGCCCTCGATCAGACGGCGGTTCCTGTCAGGCCGGCTGGACATGAAAGTTCCTCCACAAATAAAATAGGAAAATTTTAGGGTGCATTTGTTTTAGAGGATGTTTCGGTGCGTTCTAGATCTGGCATAGTCTAATTCCTTGTTTAATTCATGTCATAATATTTTTTTTAAATGTTTAATATTGCAAAGAGGTCTTTCCTTCCTCAAACCATACTCTCTTCTTTCTTTAATAAAAGAAACCAGGCGAGAGACGGAACCTATGGCAAGTCTTAGAAGACTGTTGGCACCTGCTAGAGGAAGAAACTGGCTTGGGAAAACATGAATGTAGAAACGGGCATCTACTAAAGGAAGAAACGACGTAAGCTTAGGTTCAAACGAAAGGTCGGCCTTGTCGTAAACAAAATCGTATTGTCATCCATAAGGTCGCACCAATCTGCCACTTCATGGAAACGACTCAATTCACTTTGGAACAACTCAAGGTAAGTGTATTGTCTCTAATTTGTTCACTCTTTGCAATGTAGGTTTTATTCCTGAATTGATTTGCATTTTGAATTGCATTTTTAACCATGGTAAGAAAAGCATATTTTCAATACATGTGCACATTCTTTCCATTTTCTTTTGACTCCAGTTCAGACACTTGTTTGCTTTACAATATGTGTACCTTTAGGATTCTAAAAAACCCAACTAGTCATACTACAAAGTTTTCATTAACCTTCATGATATACCCATTCTGTCAATCTTTATTTCATTTGACTTGATGTGATTAAAGGTTGTCTAAATGACCCGCTCTCGAAATTAAAGTGAAAACACTTCTCGTCAATCGAAATTTTTCATGACTTCATGACAATTACTCTTATTTCATCTGCCTCAGTTACTCTCAATAACAAAGCAATAATAAGAACCAAACATTCCAACCCAGCTGGTTGCGAGGTTACCATGTCTAGTAGGAGGTCTCGAGTTCGAAACCCGCTAGGCACATAAGGGTTTGAAACTCAATGGAGCGAGTTTCAGTCCTGATTACTCCAGCCCCCCATCCCCCAGACCCCTAGAGTAAAAAAATAGATTTAAAAAAAAGGAATAATGAACAGTAATTATGTCATATAATTGGTATGATGAATTGTTTTAACTTTTAAGAGTTGACATTTTAGACACCATGATAATAGTTAAGACTTAGGGTAAATGAATTGTCGCTTCAAGAAACACGTTGGATTATAAATTATGACCTACACCTGGGGGCAATAGAACTTTTCTCTTCCCAAAATGCGACATGTTTTGTACTGCTATGAATAACTAATAGGTTATTCTGGTTATATTATAATACTTTAGCTTGATAGAAAAAAAAAACAGTTTTTGTTATAGTGTGCGTAAACACCTAAAACAACACGGATTAAATAATGGAGGATGCTCAAATTGACTTCACCAAAATTAAATATTTGAAGAAATAAAACTCAACCATAAGCCCAGGTTCATGGTAAATAACAACCTGTAAGTAGTATGTGTGTTCCCAAGCATCTATGCCTAGGAGGGGCACCATGTTTAGTCATTTAGTAAGTTAGTAACCAATGGATCATGTATAATAGATAGAACTTGCACAAAATTAAAAGGAAAAAAAAATGAATGTTATGAAAATAGAATGGGCTCTCAGTACATGGTTTGCAAGAATAACCGAATAGAAATGGTTACATGTGATGTTGGTTATTTTTATGTTCAGCACACTCCTTCTAAAGTTATTAATATATAGTTTTATTAATGGATTGTTAAATAAAGTTAAGTTGTTTAACATGACTGTTATTTACTTACTCGATATATTTTTAACCTCACTGTTAGTCTAGGAAGATGTTTCGACATAAGTGATGTTTGTAGTTCAAACTCCTGATACAGTTGTGTTAATAGTTACCTTGGGAGTGAAAACAAAGTTACATTGGGAATGAAGTTGTTTGTATGGCGTTTGACTTGGTGTAGTATTGTTGAGAAATGCATCTATGATTGTTAATTTTCCCTCTTTAATACACATTTCCATGTCATCTAAAAAAATGGAAAAGAGTTTACCCTAACCGAACCTACCCAGTCATTGGAATCAACGCTTCTAATTTTTTTTATTACCCGCCCCTACCCGATTTGTGTCCACCCCTAATTGACGTGCTTATGGAGAAAAGTTTTTAAGGAAATTAAACCTAGGTTTAAGTGACTATTATTGGATTAAGTTACCTTGTATTTCACTGTATAGTAACTTATTAGTTATTCATATTGGTATTTGATATTCAAGAGATAAGCTATTGGTCATGCAACTATGTTACTATATATTCTGTTATAGTTACTGATAAGTTACTGAAAATATTTTAAAATAGATGTGTGATTGTCATAGTGTTTTAATGTTTTTCAAGAATGTATGCATATTTTGTGTGATAATGGAATGAGTAGTTTGTTGCAGATGAAGTCTAGCCATTGTGAGGTTGTGTATAGGAAGGAAGAGTGTGGTATATTTTTTAAAGTCGTAGTAACTGCAATATGGTTTGTGAATGTCAACTAGAGTTGCTAAATGCCACTTAGTACCTTATTTGCATTTTATAAAGGCTAAAGGGTCAAATAGGCCCTCGAACTAACTTAAAAAGTGCAAATCACCCGTTATATAGGAGACTCTGTCCGGCCGTCACCATTTGGGGCGGTTCCCGGTGGAATTTTTTGATGAATTTTTTTTAAAAACTTCTTCATTAAGTCTAGTTTACTCATACCAAAATTCAGCTAAAAATTCAATTGGGAATGCAGTCAAATGAATTTTTTAAGATAACTACGCAGATAAACAACATTTCAAAAAATAGCCAATTGACTTAGTAACTTATTTGCACTTTATAGAGATTGAAGAAGGTTTGGGTAGTAATTTGTGTGTGTCTGAAATAACTTATATTTGACATCGTAGATTAGTTACTTTGGTAGCAACAATTTGGTTAGTTGCAAATTTTAATGAGATTATAGATCACATTGATATTCAACCTAATAACAATGTGAGAGATAAAATTGGTGGATAGCCATTGTGTATAGAAATTCAAGGCGAAGAGATTGCAGTGCAGCAAAGCAATGAGTATGTTGGTGTTATATTGACGGAAATGAAGTAACTTTTCATAAATTCAAACAGTAACTATGAATGCAAATAAGGTTAGTGATGAATTCTATTCAGAAATGAATTGTCTCTTTATAAAGCATCGTATGACCATTGTTAACTGGTGTTTTGGAATTGAAACACCAGAAGTGCGGAAGGTACAAACAACACAAACATAAGTAGAAAATGAGTAATAACATAATATCATTGAAATGAATTTAAGATGTTGACTGAACAATGTTACATCTAATACAACACGAATCGTCATAGATGAAAGGGTAGTAATTTAAGTAGGCACGATCAACATATCTGATCCTATCATTAGTTAATTTACTATAACTTGAAGCATAATTTCCTCTTAACACGAGTGTGCTTGAATATGAAACGTCTAATTCTTAAGCCACTAGCAGAGACTGGAATAAAAAAATACTTAAGCTCAATCTTGATTCCATTGACAGACATGATTCCCTTTTCAATGCAGGACTTAAGTTTAAGCTTCAGTTTATCAAGTCCTTCCTTCTCAAAGTTAGAGAGGGAACTCAGCCCTAAAACTTCCTCCACGCCATTTTTGTGAAGTCGGGGAGGAAATAAATTCATTTTATATAACATCTTATATACATTTTAATTTAAGGAAAATAACATGCACTATATTCATGTCTTATTTACTTTCACTTTTTCTTTAGTAGACATTGTAATGTATTTGTGACAAAATGAAGATGGATGTTCCCCTTAATGTTTCAATGAGTTTTTTGGATGATGAAAATCACTTAAGTTATGATGAGGATGCTG